CTGCAGTTGTGTTGGACCCGGCCGGCCGGGCCAGGCCCCCCCTCGCTCGCTGAGGCCGCTGTCCTCGCAGCTTTCAGCTTGGATCCTGCCCTGGTTCTCGTTAGATTTAGGTTTTTCCTTTTTGCTTTGGAGCCACTGTAAACGGAATTTTAAACATCAACTTCCTTCCCGGCCGGCGTGGCTCAGTGGCTGAGCGTCGACCCATGAACCAGGAGGTCAGGGTTCGATTTGGGTCAGGGCACAGGCCCGGGTTGCGGGCTTGATCCCCAGTGTGGGGTGCGCAGGAGGCAGCCGATCGATGGTTCTCTCTCATCGTGGATGTCTCTATCTCCCTCTCCCTTCCTCTGAAATAAAAAAATACACTGAGCTTCCCTAATGTGCACAATGTTTTTAAAAACTGGCTTCCAGGTGCCAGGTGCTGCCCGTGTGCTGCACTTGTAGGGTCTGCCGAGCTCACTGGTCCAGGAGACGCTCGGGGCGCAGGGTCCGCCGTCAAGAAGGGCCGCTCTCCCTCCCCCGGGGCCCTCAGCGGGCTCCCTCCGTCGCACGGGGACCTGGGGTTCTGTCAGGTGTTTCTGCCTCAGTCGGGGAGGTTTAGGTCTTCCTGACCCGGCCTGGCGACTGGCGATGATTGATTTCTGACGTGGAGCCAGCCGGGTGTCCTCCGTGGGTCTGACGGGCCCTTTCCTCGTGTCCTCGGGGCTAGGTGAGGCCTTTCTCCAGGGGCTCAGGCGTGGAGCCCTCGGCTCTGCCTGGCGGTGCCCACGGATCCCGGACGCTGCCTCTGTCACTGTGGCCTGTGGGTCGCCGAGGGCCCCGGGAGCTTCCCGGCCGCCGTGCAGTGTGGACCGTTCACTCCACACTGGTCAGCCGGTCAGGGAACGTGCTCCGGCTGACCCCGTGCCTTCAACGCGCTCACGTGGTTTGTGGCCCAGGCGGGGCCTGTCCTGGTGGCACTCACCCCTTCCGTCCGCTACCCCTCGGTCCTTTTCCCCTCAGAGCCCGACAGCCTCGCGCCACTGTGGTGCCAGCAGGCGCTGTGCCGTGGCCTGGCATGTCAGGCCTCTGCCCTGCTCCTGGGGTTCAGATGCCCACTGTAGGGACCGAGTGAGGGCTCTGCGGGTGGGGCGGGAAGTCTGGGTGTCCTGACTGGGACACGGGCGCTGGGACTTGGTCAGGCTGACGACCAGGTGGGAGAGCGCGCCAGGGTTCTGTGAGCGCCCGGGAGGCCTGCGGCCTGGCCCCTGGGCCTGGACCTGGGCTGCACATGCCCTC